CCTAACAGGTACTGAGTAGTGTATGGATGTGTTTAACCTTTGTCTGCAACAAACTGAAGCCAGGAAGCACGGCTATTCCTTGGAGATACTGTTTTGTTCAGAAATCTTGGCTGGCTGTAAGGATTCATTTTGTGTGCTTGTCACTGATGTCTTTCCTAATATGCTGTACAAATTCAGACTCTGTGATATCTCATCCTTGTGTCTGCTGTTACTGATGAACTATCCGGAGGACTGCATTAGAAAAAGAAGCTAAATGTAATACTTTATTTGGTAGATTTAGTTGTTTACTCTGATGTAAATTGAAAATGAAAAAAATACTTGTTTGTCTTGTTTCAGCAGGTATTTGATATGGGTTTTTGTTTTGGATAAGGCTCTAAATTTTGTTACCTGTCTGCACTTACATGTGCTGCTTGAGTGATTTTTTTTTTTGACTAAACCATGGTAACTAGCTTTTGAAAAGTGGGAAGTGCCTTAAGTCAGTGATACATTGATTCTCTTCAGGGGCGGGAGAGACTGGTGGTGGTGGCAAGTGGCTGCTTCGTGTTCACTTTAGCAATGCAAATACTTGTGAACAAGCAAAAAGGAGCAAATGTAACTTAGAAATCATTAATTGAAAACGTATCCCTTAGATTTTTGGAGATAACAGTGTTACTATCTTAAGATTCTTGCACATGCTGGCTGAGGTGTTGATTCCTCTTAGTTTGGGATTCATGTTTTAATTTCAGCCAGGTGTGTTCAGGGTGGCTTTTTCCTGGCTTTCCTTGAAAGTACAGTGATGTGTTGGATGCAAGCATTGATTCTGTCTCCAGGGCAAAATTTCCAATATGTGCAGCAGACTTGTGGAAGCCAGGGAAAGCTGGCAGTGCAGTGTTGCTGTCTGTGGCTGTTTTTTCTGGTTGTTTTCTGCTTAAACACACAGAAAGGTTCAGGGCATCTTGACCTGTGTTCAGTTGTTAAGGTGACAGCAGGCAGTGATGCTGATTTCTCTTTTTTAAAGTTGCAGTTTGTGTCTTAAGCTGTTTCAGACAGATTGGGCGTAAATCTGCAGCCATGGTTTCGCAGGTTAGAAGTGCAACAGGTATAGAATATGGTTCAAGTTTAGGAATAGCTCATTAATATTAAAAATGATGCCAGCAAATGTTTCATTGTAGTAATTGCCTGCAGAGTTGAACATTTTTTTCCTTGTGACGTGATGATTTCCTACTGCTGCTTCTGTTTTTCAGTTTTCACTTAGAAGATCCCTGAAAGTGAACATGTTTAGAATTTGTGTATGTTGTCATACAAGTGATTAATAAGATGTTAGTCCCTCTGTGCATTAAAAAAGAAAAAAAAAAAAAAGAGGGGCAAAACCACTTAATATATTATACTTGTATTTTGAATGGTAATTTTTGAGGTAATCTGTGCTTGCCTATAATGCCTGTGAACTCTTGAAGTCCACAGTGGAATCACCCCTACTTACTTTCTAAGGTAGCGAGAATCATGATCTAGTGACTGAGAAACAAGGATTTTCTCCAGGCGTTTTGGGGGGAGGGGGGCAGAGCCACAATCTCTTCTGCTCTGCAACAATGTTTCAGTCTTGAGTTGCTTTACACTCCCTTAGCTTGTGCACTGAAACTGCTAGAGAGTGTCAATGCTAAAACTTAAGTCTGTTCAATCAAGAAGTTCATCATGTCCATTGGCAAAATTCCTGGACAAACTGAAGGATGCCAGTCTGCTTTGGGGGTTTTGGACTGAAGCTGGGAAAGGTTGGCATCAATTTTCATGGCAGGGGGGAGTATTTCTGAATTGAGCAGCTTCTGATTCTTCTCCATTCTTCAAAGGCAGGTGAAGTGAGGCAGGAGCTTTCCCACTGAATGGATGTCACTTTGGGATCCCTCTCTAGTGTTTAGGGAATGGAAGCATCATTATCAGGGAGCCTTTCTGATGAACCCTCATGCCTTGGGGTGTAAGTGAGCTGGAAGTTGTGTGGCAGTCCCAGTGTACACAAGGGGACAGCAAAGTGGTTCTCTGTTAAAAAGAAAAGTGAAATCCCCTGTAGAGGTGGTCTCTGCTGAATGGTGCTGACGCTCTGGGTCCTCCTGCATCATGTGGAGACATAGGGTGAATTTGTAGCCTGTTAGGCACTTAAATAACATGACTTACCAAACAGCACACCTGTAATTTGTTGCAACTGTGGATTTTTGTACACTGTTGATGTGGTTAACATTGCTGAAAAAATCAGATAGGAATCCAGTACTATAACTATTCAGGGCTTTTTTGCCCTCAGTGACTACTTTTTCTGTTTCTGTCTGCTGTCATGGAGGTGTAAATCTCTGCCTGAGCTGCTACAAACCCAGTTCTCAAATAACAGCTTGTTACTTTTGTTTAGTGTGTGTTTGTTTGTTTTTCTACTCTCATGGAGTTTTTGCAGAGGTGAGCTTTCTGTTCTAAAGGTTTTGTTACACTTGCCATTTCTATGTAAGCTGTCTTTGAAGTGTAGGCATCTCTGCTCTTCTTTCCTAGTCGCCCAGGCAGAAGTCCAGGCTTCCTGGGTGTTCTGTCCTGTAGTTGTCCCTCTCAACCTCATGTTTGACCCTACTTTAATTGAATGCTCATGTTATGCTTTGCACATAGCTGTCCTTAGTACAGAGTGAAAAGATTTTATTGCTGCATATTTATATAGGCTCTAAGAGATGGGAATCGCCTGCCATAAGCTTTCAACACCTTTTAACAATTGTTAAAAAATTCACCTGAACATAAAACCAAAGCAAGTAGCAAGCACTTCCATTTCTTGCTAAGAACTGGAAGTGCTTGCTACTTGGTAAGAAATGGGAGTAAGGAATACTGCTCAACCCACCTAGACACTTGTTTTTGTTGTTTCCCAAGGTCTTCTAATGTACCTGATGGTCTTTAAGGCAGGAAATGGAACCGGCCAGCAGATAAATTGTCATGGGCAGAACCTGCAATTTTTAGGGAAACTTTGCATGCTCCAAGGGGCTGTGTTTGGCCTGGAGTGCAAGCTCTCAAATGGGCAGTAAGTTTTATTTGCTCTTGTTTAAAATCTATCAAATCCTTTAAATTAAAATCTATCTAATCCTTAAAATCAAAATCTACCTAATTATTTAAATTTCACAAGCTGGCAATATGAAAGTAGTCTTCTGGACCTGCCTTCAGTACCCTGCAGCAAACTTCAAGTCTGGTGCCCCCAAAACAAGTACAAAGACACGTCCTTCTGACCCAAGTGCCTTCTACGTGTCAAACAGCTTTTGTCCAAGAACTTCATGGAAGTTTCTTCATCTGTACAAGCTACCTTACATTGCTTGCTGGAAGCAAAGCCCTGTGCTGTTTTGACACTGGTCTGCACATATAGCATGGCTACCTTGTCTCCCTATGTTGCCTGATCTGTGAGAAGGTGAATTAATGTGAAATTATTTCTTATGTAAAGAAGTTTTATACCTTGTTTAAGTGATGATGCAAATGACCTTTGTCCTGTGTCTTTGTCTTCCCCCCAGGTTAAATACCTGACTCAGAAATTCTGTATCTGCTTTCTTGATAACTGGAAGCATTGCTTCCTTTGTCAGCTTTCTGGAGTGTGGACCATGTCTTTTTATATAACAGGTTGAAAGGATTGATTTAAACTTTGAGTGATCACTGCATTTAGATTCAGTAAACTCACTCTCTTGTATACAAAGACTGCTGAAATTTTCCACTAAATTAAACACTTGTGCCTCAAACAATTCAATTTCAATCTCTTCAAAGCCTTTGGGCAGGCTTCTCTTATCTGGAGATCTTGTTTATCCCGTGGTATTTGGATAATCTCAAGACCCATTGTACAGTAACTAATGTAGAGTGCTTATCAAATAGGATATTCAGATGTGTTGTTTTTTTTAATGGCATGTGGTTATGTTTAAGCAGTGAAGCTGTTTACACTTCAGGTGTAGCCAAGCTGGCACTTAGAGTACTTCAGACATTTCAGGTTCAGCTATCTGTAATCTACTTGAGCATATGTTCTGCTTAAAAAGAAGCAGAAAAAAACCCAAAACAGTGTTCTTGTATATTGCTGCAGAATTACTTTTTACTTATTTTCCGTATTGATTTTTTCACTCAATCCATTAAAGACATAGGGGTGATTTTATTTACTGCTATTAATTGTAAATTGTTATTGAACCTTAGTTAACAAATGTGACATGGAATATTATAGAGTGGCGGGACTAATAAGAATATATATGGATTTTTCTTGGCACTTGTTTAGAGTATATAGCTGATAACTGTTTTGATTTTTCTTTTATTAAGTAGTGGTGCAGAAAGTTCTTCCTCTCTCTCTGTAGCATTACATGTTGAAAAATGAATCTCAAAAAGTTCAAAACCTTTTTTTAATGCAACTGGTGCAGTGCCACTGAAGTATTTCTAGGTGATACTCTTGATCACTTCTCAAACTTCTGGAAACCACATTGCTTATGAAATAAATGGTGGTCAGATGACTTAAATGGCATCAGACACTGCTTTCTATGATTGTCGCTATTTAAAATCTGCCTTTTGCTTTGCATTGATGCCTTAAAGTTTGTGTTTGTTTGTTTAGGTTTTTTTAAGGTGTGCTATATTTCTAAATCTTTGCCTTGCTGTGCATCCACCTTATTTCCTGGCCTCCACCCGTCTCTCAGCTAGCTACTGCCACCATGGCAACTCTTCCTCCAGCTGAACAGATGGGACACTGAGTGGAGCAGTGCACCGCTCATGCCCTGCCGGGAATCAGCTGCCGGGTTGCACTTCTTTCTGCAAAATTAAAAGCAGGCTCTGCCCAGCAGAGGCATGCTGGTTTTGAGGGTGCTCAGTTTCACAAATAGTATTGTGATCTAATAGTTGCTTGCAGAAATAAAACATAGTGACTGAACTGGGATTGTTTCTATGCCTGAGACCTCTTCAGAGGAGCTTTGCCTTTAGTTTGAAGAACTTGGCATCAGCCAGCAGCCAGTGATTTTCTGGTAGAACAGTTGTCATCAGCTTGTTTATTTTCTCTTTAGGATGCGTCAGGATGAAACGCCACAGGCATCTAAGCACCAGTGACAGTTCAGACAATGAGAGTAAGTAATACCTGCTAGTTTTTCTTTGGTCTATCACCCCCTTGTGGTTTCCCTCTGTGGTTTGAGGGCAAACTGTTTAACCTCTTAAAAATGAAAAAAAAAATATGTTTCTTGATTGATTTCTTTTTGCATTTGTGGTCTTTGGTGTTCTGAATCATGTTATAGGAGGAAAAAAAAAGGCAAAGGATCTTACAAGGGGAGTTTTGAGTATACTTAGAATTTTAGGAGAAACTTGTCTATCTTTCTCATTCATGGTTGGCAAGAAGAAATCTGTAAATCAAGAGAAATTGTACTGCCCAGGGTTCTATTCTGTGATTATTTTTTAAAAAAGAATCCCGTTGTCTTGTGGTATGCAGAGCTTCAACATTAAAATAGTTGGGGGTGACAAGCTACTTGAGCATTAATGTGTTAAAATTATAATCAGTATATTGATTGTTATGTTATCTCATACTAGTTCTTGATCTACTCCACTTCAGTCTGTTCAACAGTTTAGTATGAAGTCACACTTCAAGTGTTTCTTGGCAGACATCTGCCTGAATATCTTTCAATTCTATCTGCTAGAAACCCAAAACAGAACAACCCTGTGTGACAGGGTCTTGTTTGTTTCTTATAAGCCTGTGTCTATCTAGTAGCTCTATACGTAATAATGATTCATTGTCTTATTCACTGTAAGTCATTGATGTATCCTCTGCTGAAATAACATTTTGCCAGAAACATCTAAGATATCACACGATGGGTTTTTTGCATCTCTCTTTAGCACATTTTAGTATCATTGCTTTATTCTTCAGGGGGGTTTTTTTGAGCATTTTCAAGCTCTGTTTTCTTCCTTCCACTTTGTTAGAAGGGAGCTAAATGAAGGAAAGCAGTCTGTCTGCTTATTTCTGTTTACTCATGCTTGTATTGGGCAGAGCAGAGTGTACCCATAAACTTGGTGTGCTGTGGTTTTATAAAGAACGAGTGGAACAGGAAGAGCTGAAATTAAGCCTACAGACTGCCTAACAGGTTTTTTTTGCCCACATCTTGTCAAAAATTGTAATTCAAGAGATTGGAGGGCCTGGTGTTTCACTGGAAAAATTAAATGAATTGAACTGAGCCATAATGATCCTTTTTTATTTCTTCTTTTTTTTAACAGGTCCTTCCACTTCCTTTTCTTCTTGTTCTAAGTACAGGAGCAAGTCAAAAACACCAGCAAATGAACAAAAGAAGCCTGCTGAGGTAAGAACTGGGTTGGTCACTGGTAGTTTTCTTTCATACAGTTTTCATGTTTCTGAGCCTTGAAGAAGTGAGTTATGAATCTAGTGCTGGTGAGTCCTTTTGTCACCTGTCAAATTCTCTGTGAACCCTTATTTTCCTCACTGTGTATTATAGGAACTTTGATATTTGATGGACCACAATGACTTATGGCATTTGCAGATGGCAGCACGTAGCCTGTTCTTTACCTGGAATTTTAATACCATTTTGAAATTGGCAAAAGCTGGTATGGTGTTACAGTTCGAGAGCATAGCACTCAAAGTGGTACATATGTATGTGTTCAGGAAGGATATACTGTCTTTCTGCTTCAGGATGAAACAGTAGGACACTTAAGTGGATAGGATATTTATATGCAGTGTTTGCTGCTTTGTTACTCTTGGCTTTTTACTGTCAATGTAGCTTTTTTGTTTACTCTTCCATCTCCACCTGTTAGAACCACAACACTTACCTTCACTGTCACGGGACCTGTACTGACCTATTTAATAAATTGGCATTCATGCACAATCCACTGCCCAAAGCCATCCTGTCAACCATGCCATTGGTAGCCCCTCTAAGTGGAAGATTTGTTGGCTGCCTTCTCCAGATTTTATGCTTGTTTTCTTAAGGTCTGAAGTCAGATACTAACTGCAAATTGGAGAAATATTTCTTGTTGCTCATTCCCCTTACTTGTTGTCACATTACCTCTGAATGAGTCCTCCAGAATTTTAGTATAACTGCTGAAAAAAGACTGACAAACCCCACTTTATTTCTGTGGAATTCAAAGCTATTTACTATACCAGCAGCTTTTTACCTGAGTGGTTACTGCTGTGCAAGGTTGTGTGAAATATGTAGGTTGTGCTCCTATAGCTTAAGCTATTCAGCAAACATGCTTCATGCTTCTTTTCTAAATGCTGCTAACTAGGTGGGTTTGGTGTGGTAAGAACACTGTAAATGATACAGAATGTGTCATTTCTTTGGAAGCTTAATTCTGATTGCAAGTCAATTCAAGAAGACTCAATTCTAAAAGAAAATGCAAACAAGTTTAAAAAATGGGCTAGAACTAGCTAGCTAGTTTTATTTTTATTGTTTTATTTGCAGCTACCAAGAAGGTTAAGAAAAACTCACTAAACTTTTTGCCTTTAAGATGTTGTTATGAGGATTATGGTTCTGTAAGAATTTAAATCTTAAAGCAGCTTGTGGCTACTGAGGTCTTTTAAGTGTTGCTCATGTGTGCCTAGGCAGTAGCTTTGTTACCAGTCAAGCTGTGCAAATGGGAGCTGAAGCACATATATTGCCAGGCTTGTTGCTGTTTCAGATACACGTTGGTGCTAGTCCCTTACCAATCCCTTCTTTCTGCCCAGCCGTCCAGTTTTATTCTTGTATCTCTTCATCTTAGGGATTGCCCTATTACAGCCTTCTTTGAGTTTGCTCCATTTTTCCTCAATGTGCATATGTACATCAAAACAATAATTATGAAGATGTGGTCCAGCTATGTAGCATGCAAGTTTTCTGTTTACCTAACTTCTAGGAATTAAAACGAGCAGTGTTTTCAGTTCCTCCTTTTCAGATCATCTTTGCTGCCTTTTACCAGTTCTGAGGCAAAATCTTGATTCCTTTAATGCTTGAAATATGAAACTTTGAAGAACAAAATCTGGAATATGCACTTGAAATTTAAGAAGTCTATTTCATAATGTAATCCTTCTAGTAATACTGGAATCTCTTTGTCATATTTGACTTAAGATTCTGCTCCTGGGGGGAAAGAAAGAAGAAAACAAAAAAAAGAAAGAAATCCCAAACTTTAGAACATATCCTCTTTGGAAGGAGTTTCCTGAGTATAATATTTAAAAGATCCCTGAAACAAATAAAGTTATCCTGGAAAGGGAGTGGAAGGGAAGGTGACAGTAGTACTGTACCTCTTGTACACAGGACTTTTTTGGCTATTGTTTGTGTTTTGCGTTTGTTCTGCTAGAAGCAAACGCTCCTCTAGCTCCTTTAAAAGCATATGCTGGGAAGTGTAGTATACAAAATGCTTTTGTCAGCAGAGCATTGAAATTGATTATTTATGCATCAAGTGGTGACAGGGAAGCAAAGCAAATACTGAAAAGGGACCCCACTACACATCTAATATCTATTAGATAGAAATTTAAATTTTCAGGCTGACAGCATCTCTTTAGCAAGGCCTCTCTGTAACAAGTTTGCATTGCTCTCCTTTCATTCACCTCTGCTTGCCAGGCAGCAGGCTGTTTCTTGAGTTAGTGATGCAGAAAATCTAGAAGGTCAAAGCTATAAATAGTTGTTTGGGAATATTTTTGTTCATGGTCTTCATACATTAAATTTTTTTTATGCCAGTAAGCCTTGGTTTTTCAGATAAATTGCATATGAATACATATGCTTTCTTCCCCTTTCTCTGCCATCAACAGCCCAACCTGAGTACCTGGGTTCTCTCCAAACAAAAGCTTGGGTTTGGTGCTCCAATAAGCAAGTAGTGAGTATATGTCCAGTTCAGGACTTACCTAAATATGCTGGTGTCCTCTGAGGTTGCCTGTAAAAAGTGATGACTGGCTGCATCTGAGGACTGCTTGAATTGCCTTCCAGGTGCTTTAGAATCCAGGTGGGTTTGGGAATGGCCTCAGTGGAGCCAGGTCATCTGGTCTTACTGCCAGGCGAAGAGGTGTTGTGTAACAGTGCAGATGTCAAAGCCCATTTCCAGAGCCTGTATCAAACCAGCAGGGATGGATTGATTGATTGATTTGTTACTGGGTTGGACCTGGTTTCAACTTACTCCAGTCTCCTCCTTGGAGAAGAAGATGAGAACAAGGGAAGCCTGTAATGATTTTTCTTCAGACTGTGGAGCTTCTGTAGGTAACGTCAAAAGCGGGGCTGTGTCTCTTTCTCGCTGTTCACCTTCTGGATTACGGTCTATCACAAACTACTGAAATGGTGGCTTAAAAATTCTTTTATCCAATTAGCTTTACCATTTACTGTGAATAAATAAGCTGTGTTGATGTTAGAGGCACACCAGTAATTCAAAGTCATAGCTGGTTTGGACTTTTATGATGATGTTGGCCACATACCATTTGTGGTGTTGCCCCTCAGTGGATTTAAACGTAGACAGGAGGGACTCACAACCTTCTGCAGTAGGCTGTGTGGGATCAGCAGGGTAGGAGACATTTGGATGTCTGGCTCAGCATGAAGCCTGTATTTGGCAGTTTCCTGTCTCCATGAAAGCTGAGGCAGAAAATGATGGCAGAGTAGTGGGAATAATTTTTGCAGGGAAAATGCATTAGCTGGACTGGCCTGTGTGACTGACCATGTCTTTTCCCTTGTGCTTGTGGGGTCACAAAAGAGCCTAAGAGATCTTTATGACACTCAAATTTATGTATATGTTTTTTCAATCCTGTCTCCTCCTTGAAAGTGCAAAGAAGTTAAGTTAGTGTTGTGCTTTTTTTTTAAACCCTTTCCATATAACATGGTAATATTTTACTTCTCTTTGCAAATAGGGTTTCGAATCTCACAGCAGGAGAATTTTTTTAATCGCTCATTGCTGATTGTGACAGCTGTATTATCATGTACAATGCAACTTACCTTCCAAAAGTAAATGGTCTGCATTCATTACTTGGGTACATGAAACTCTTTTTAGTGGCATTCAACTGCCACATAAATCGTAGGTCTTGATCCTGAGACTGTAAGACTGTAAGACTAGACTCTTGGCAGCAAATGGACTCTTTTTGCAGTTTTAAAGTGCTTTATTTTGTTCTGTGAGTGAATGGGCAACATGGTTAAACTATATTGCTTTGCATGCACCATGTGTAATAAGAAACTGCCACTTTTATGTGCATGCTAACCTTAAAAAATTCTGAATTATCTGGGACATGTACAGGCTTCCCAAGACCTCTGGCAAGCATGTGTTATCCATGAGCTACTTTTTAGCCTGGTTGGGTTAGTTGATTTAAAAAAATATGTAAGGCTGGAGGTGCAAACTCATCAGTTACTTCTATGATTTTTTTTTTCCCCTTTGTGATACTGTCTCAAGCTATTTGAACTCTTTAGGAAGAGGTGGCCCAAATGCAGAAAGGTGTGGAAGAGCTTACTTGTGAAAAGGCTGAGCTGTTTTACCTTTGAAGTGAATGAACAGGCATAACAGTAAAGCATGAATGGGTTGGAAACAGCAGAACTGGAGTGCTTCAGTCCTGCCTGTCCTTGTGATAGAAGAACTGGACAGAAAAGGCAGCCGTGAGCATTGAAAAATGAGGCCAAAACTTAGAAAATCTGTAGCAATTAAAAGGATATCCTTTTCATGCAATTAGGCTGGGAAGCTCATCTGCTACAGGAGGTGGTTGAGACTCAGAATTAAACAAGATTAAAAAAGGAATTGGACAGATGATAACAAGTACAGATTTTTAAAAATATCTGTATAAATTAATGCCACTTTAAAAACTGATTGTTAGGATTAACCCCAAAATCCAAAGCTTATGTCTGATTAGCAACCAGAAGGAAACTTGACATGTTCTTGCACATTCTTGTGGCTCATGAGATACTGTCAGAGACATGATGTTAGGTAGCATTGATTTAGTATCCAATTTCCTGGCTTTTCCTATACATGCTTGTAAAAGGAGGCTAGGAAGAGTCATGGCTACTTAAATGAAAATTACAATATGTAATTTACTTGGGTCCTGGATAATTCATTAAGCTAGTTTTAGGGAATAAGGGGTTTTAACATTAGGATTTACTGCCTTGCTTGTCCAAATTGTGTGGATGTTTGAAAACTACAGATTTAATTCTACATATATTCCTGACTACCACAGCATTTTTAACATTTTAAGTTTCTCAGTCTAGTTGGTATATGTGCCTGGAGCTGTAGCTTCATTTCCATTTGAAATTTATGTTGCCTTTTATTTACTTTGCTGCCAAAAAAAACCTAACCAACCAAAAGCCAAAGCAAACCTGCCTTAAGTTTCTACACGTCTCTGTAAGGTAAGTTTCTT